ATGAGTTGAATGTACTCAGCAACAGCATTGTTATTTTTCACATTCTGGTTTTATTTTAGTATTACATGAGAAGCTGCCTTGGATTTATTTATTAAAATATAAAAAACATTTCTGCAAATTGTCTAAATAAATAAATAAAACAAAGCTTGACAAGGGAATCATCTTTACGGACGACCTAGCACAGAAACTGGTGTTGCTGTGTGGATGATTAGACTGCAATTTCTGGAACAGGTTAGAAGCCAGGGTGGTGACTGCATTTACCCCGAAAGGTGGCCTTGAACCGGTTCTAGAATCCGTAGTATTTTTAGTTTGACAGCTATGGAAAATGTGAATTTTTCTTTTCCTGGAGAGACACACATATGTACTCTGGAGACACAAAGTGAAACAAAGAAATACAAAGTAAGAGTGGGGGCATTTGATTACCTATCCCAGGGAGTCAACTGACCACCTGTGGCCCAGCCATGCCCTTAGACATTTTTGTCAGCCTCCATTTGTTCTGAAGTTCACACCATGCATCAGTGTGTTGAATATCCACAATGTGTGTTGCATTCTGTGTAGTTGATTTCACCATACAGTGTGGCTTACATTGCTGCCCATTGCAATGCATTCAGGGGTTTATTTTAGACTTTTGATTTAAACTCTTTAAAGCAGGCATGTCCAAACTCCAGCCCAGGGGTCAAATGTGGCCCTTGCTCAAATTTCCATCAGCTCTTTCTCTCCAGGTCTCCCTCCCTCTCTCCCTCGACTTCCTTCCTCTCCTTGTTTGTTCCGCCCTTCCATCTTGGGGATCAGGGACCCAGAAAAAGCAGATCTCCTTGGGAGGAGAGAAAGAGAGATGCTGGCTTATTGCATCCCTTCACCATGATTAAACGTCAGCTTCTCCTTGGGTGGCTCCAGCCTCGGGCATCCCATCCCAGTGGCCCCTTGTCTCTCTCTCTCACTTCCCCCACTACTTTTCTTTATTTATTTGCAAAGGAATGCCCCCCCCCCAATTGCCCTACTTGCCCCAGGTGTTTGCTGTTACTGCTGCCGCCACCACTGCTACTGTATGATTGGGAAGGGCAGACCCAGGAAGCTATGCACCTGCCTGGCTTCTCTCCCTCCCTCCCTTCTCCTCCCCACCTTTGTCCTGTGTCACTGCCCCATGTTTTTCAAAAAGGCCACCCTTTTCTGTGGCCCCTTGCTTGGGAAGTAAAGGGGTGAGCCAGGTGGCAACTATAAGCCCCCCTGCCAAAATAAAAGCCCTCTAGACAGATGGTCATGCCACCTCTACTGAAAAACCTCAGAGAAGGAGACTCCACCAGTCTCTGAGGCAGTATATGCCACTGTCCAAAACGACTTGGAGGCACACAACAACAATCCTAATTAACTTGACTCTTTCCTTAGCCAAAAGCAGGCCCACGCTTCCCATTGAAAGATTGGGTTGTTTATGTTGGTTAAAATTGTTCTTCATTTTATATATTGTATTATTCTTTCATGGCCTTTTTGCACTACAAATAAGACATATGCAGTGTCCATAGGAATGAGTTCATGGTTTTTTAAAAAAACAAAAAAAAACCCCCAAAAACAAACCTAGAGTCTGGCTCCTCAACTGGCTGAGGGATTGCAAACTGGCCCTCCGCTTTAAATGTTTGGACACCCCTGCCTTAAAAGTATGCTGCAGTGCACTTTGTAAGTATATGTAGTATAGCCACAGCAGTTTGAAGCAAAGAGCAGATGGTTATAAGGAGCAAGTGACTAACATTGCCAAAATATTGTATGTCTGTGAATTTACATGTATGTAAAGCCCATTTGTATATGCATAAGTCATTTCTTGGTCAGGATTTTCTACTGACATTACATAACAACTGAAATCTGCACCGAAACTCACATTTTATCTGCATCATTCCCCTGCACAACATAGCCAGAGGAGAATGTCCTGCTCTGTTCCTGTGGCATTGATGCCGTCCTCTAGAAATGTACCACATCTCTTCTTCTGATACACACTGTCCAAATGTGTGTGGGGGGGGGGGGGCAGTAGCCACAGCACATAAAAGGTGTCATTTGATAGGAGAAATAACATGGCAAAATTTGGTTGTGTCTTGCTGATCTAGGATTTTGACCATGTTTTTACCATTTCTATAGTCCCTTTCTCGACACCATCAATAGCAGGTAGATTGGATAAGATAGGGTGGGCAAATGTTGTAGTCAAATTCTTTGAAGTGCTCTTCCTTGACATAACAAAATGAATTTCTGAAAGCACCAAGGAGTAACAATTTGCTTTTTAAATTGATTGCAGCCCACACTTCTACTCTGTTTAACACATGAAAGCACCCATATTAGTAGACTTCTGGACACTATCGCTGTGACCCACAACACTGCTCATCTTTCTTTTTGTTCCCCTTTCTCACCCTCCTTTTCTTTTCTTTTGGGACATTTTGAAAGCTTTGGGGCATTTTGATTTCAGCCAATATTTTGGATTCAACTCAAGGAAGGAAAATGGGCAACCACACAAATAAAATTAATAAAGATAACAAAACCCATTTCTATCACTTCATCTCAAGGTGCTGGAGAGCTCCATCTTCTAATACTTCTGCTGTTAATGGCAAAGCAGCCTGGCTCTGGCAACTCTGCTTCGGGTTTCCGAAGAATAAAAAGAATATTAGATTCCATGTTCAGATCTTTCACTCATTCAGAAGACATGCCTTATTACCATCACTTTAAAGATGAAAATATTTTTTTTTCAAACCTTTCAGGCTTATTGAGTGGGCAGACTAAGGAACAGATTGTACAATCCTGATTCATTTGCTAAGAGAGAGCACTCCATTAGATGCCCCAGACAGATTCCTAAAGTGTTGTGCTGTCTTGAACTTCAGTAAATTATACAATACAAAAAATCCCGGAGAGGATTTCATTGGAACTACATTGTATGTACTGAATTGCCCTATATCTGCTTGTTATGTAATGTTGCCTCAGAAACTCCTTTGTTGCTTGTCTCATTTGAGCACTGTATGAACTTATTGACTGAATTGCACAAGAGCAGCTTCCTCCTGCTTTAGCAACCAGCTCAAAAGAAACACACACACACTGCACTACTATTTACTGAAGCTTCTGTGATGCCTATGTATTCCATTGTGTTTCTTGCAGTAACCTGAGAACCATCATATCCGGTGTGAAAAATAAATCCTTCTCATCTCTCCAACCACTGCTGCTTCAACTCCATATTGTTCTAGCCTGTAATCCACCTGTTTCTGGCAAGCTCTTTTGGTGCATTAATCACTTTAACAATCTTCTAGTATTCCCTAAACTTAACTTATCTGATGTGGGGGACCAATTTTTTCACCTAACATTAGCCATTACTCCACTCTCTCTCTCTTTCTTTTTTATTCTTTCTTTTTCCTTGGACTGGCAGATGATGATTTGTGAGCTGACATTGGTTCATGGACCATCACTTTGTGTAACATGGCTGCAAGCAATTTCTTCAGTTAAACACCAATAGTCTCTGTCAACTATTAATAAAGCAGAAGCCCATAACTTTTTATATTGACAATCATGATAAAAGTTCTGTGATTCTATTGCCATGATCATTACTACCCTGCTATTTTGTAGAGCACCTACTGCAAGGGGAGAAAGTGGTAGATTCTGCCAGCAATCAGAGCATGGCTGAAGGTCAGACCAGAAGATGTTACTTGTTTATGATTGTGACTCTGTTGCCATGACCATATTAGAATAATACCTTTATTAGTGAAGGTAGTGGTTTTATATGTTTTAAATGTTTTAATTTATGTATTTTATCATTCTGTTTAAGTGTTTATTATAATTTTTACATTGTTTTAATGGCATCAAATAGCGGCCTATGTTGTAAAGCCACCTTGAGTCACCTTCAGATTTGAGAAAGGTGGGGTAGAAATATCATAAATAAATAAATAAATAAATAAATAAATAAACTAAAGATAAAAAAATAGTGTGGAGATGTTTGGGTTGCCCAGACTACACATCGGGCAAGGTGGCCAACAAAGCAAAGGAAAGCAGGAGGAATTGCTGGTGTTCAAACCATTGAGTTTGAGCCTCCCACATCCCACATAATGTGGGATGTGGAAAGAGAGAATGCAGATCAGATCAGATCAAGTTAGGTTACTGAGGTAGATTGGAACTGTACAGAAGGCTGCAACAATGAACAAACAACCATGATAGGCGCCCTCTGTTTGAAAATAGAAAATCTTACTATTACTCAGACTACTCGGTGTTTGTCATTCTGCAGAACTCAAAAGCTTGCACACTATTTTGAGATTTTGAGACTCTGTTGGTCCAAATAGAGGTCATATCCTAATATGGATTTCAAATTGTTTCTTATAATCAGCGTAGCCATCTTTGCTTCTTTGTTATCAGTTTAGCAGGAGTTCTGTATAAGTGTGATGCATTTGGCTTTTTTTATCTGTCTTTTTCACTTTAATCCAATTAAGGCTTTCAGCAGAAATGTAAAACATGCTTAATAAAATACCCTCCTCCCTCACCCCAGTGTCTGGGAATTGCCTCCAAGGGACAGACTGCACTGAAGAGGGCTAATGAGATGGTATCCTGTATACTTATTTATAAGTTGATCTCATGTATTAGTCAAAGGAAGGTGTTGGGGCCAAAATTATGGGTCTTGATATGAGCTGCAGATTGCAAAGGTCATTTTGTAGAGTGGGGGGATGCTCCAGCACCTCCTCAGGGGGGCAGCCACTCCTGGCTGCTGCCGCCACCATTTTCTTATCCAAGGCTTTCCCCCACTCTACTCAGAGAAGGGGATGGCTCCTTTTTTCCAATTATTTGTAGTTACATTGACTTATAGGTAAGTCAACCCAGGTTTTGGAGGTTAACATTTTGATCAAAATTTCTAGATTTATACAAGACTCCATACAGTGAGTTGGTTCTCCAGTATCCATTCCATTTTGGATTAAGTCTATCCAACAAAAGTAACTGCCAGCGAGTGTGTTGTTCTGTTAGATGAAAGGGAACAATGAAAAGACAGACATGTGTTGCTTCAAATACATGTTTCATTTCATTTCATTTTTAAAAAATCATACCCATGAATAGCAAGATCAAACCTAGAAAGAGTGAATCCGCTTCAGAATCTAAAACCTTAACTTGTCTAGGATGAAATAAATAACTGCTAGAACCAGACCTCTGTGAGATCACTTAAGAATAGGACTTCCTGTTTTACAAACAGGCATTAAATAGTAGAAATTTCTCATGAAAACATGCTCTGAAGAGAGATTAACCAAGATGCTCAGAAGCCAGGGGAATTGATTCCAATCCAGCCATTCCCAATTATTTAACAATAATAGAAAATCTCAAAAATGCCAACTTCTAATTACATGATATGCAGGCAAAAATATAGAAAAATCATCCAAACCTTTTTGGAGACCAAGGGCATGATCCACCAGGTCATTATCTCTGTCCTAAGCCTCATTGAAATGAACGAAACCTACCCATGAGCAGCACTACATGTTGTAGCACAGCGCCCATTCAATTCACTGGCCATTGAGCAGAAGGACTGGACTGTGCTTGTTCCTTCATTTGGTTAAGCACCTGCTGATGCTGTATTTAGCTGAGTGGGACTCTCACCTAACAGATACCACTTAATGCCTTCCTACTTCCAGAAAACAGTTTTGGATTGGAAAATTCACTTTCTTGTAAACCAGTCTTCTCCAACTACAACCCTTCCTTATCTTATTAGACTACAAATTCCCACCATTCCTGATCAGTGCTCTTACTGGCTGAGGTTGATGGGACTGAAGCCTGGAACACCTAGAGTGACCTGGGTGGGAAAAAGGCTGCTTTAAACCATCAGGGTCCAGCCCCTCCTAGTTCCCCTTCAGACTTCTGCTTCATGAAGCAGAGATCTGTCATATGAAGGCTTGTGCCAACTCTTATTCCTGAGCCTGCTTCAGTGTCATTGCTGAATTTGAATGGTGCAAGGAAACATGAAAGGTCCGTCAAAGGAACCAATTAGTTCTGTCACCAACAGTGTTCTGTTATCAATTTTTAAAAAAGATTTCTTGCAAGATCTCTGAGTATTAGATGGCAGTGCATAACTCCAGAATGACTAGAGTTGGAATAGACTTCCGTGATGTGGAATGTAAAATGGGTATTCTCTCTCTTTTTCCCCCTCAAGGAGGGTGCCTACTTATAGCCCAGCAAGACTAATGAAAAGTAGAGGTACAAAGTACTATTTTTAGCTCACCATACCTGCAAGGTATATATCTATTAAAAAGAGATGACCCTTCCAGAGAACAAAGTGGCAGGACATTTCCCAGGGCAAGAGTGATTGGATGAAATAGTCTGAATGGATATATATGTACAGTTAATTGAAATAGAAATAGTCATAGTAAGAGTAGTAGTCAACAGTGCTTAAGATCATGCAGCATTGCTGATAAGCTTTGTAAAACCAATCAGCTTTGCTGTGCATTTCAAATGAATGCCAAATGCAGCTTTCTGCATCAAAATCATGCTCCCATATGGAAGCACAAGGGGGACAACTACAAGTATTGGGGCCAAGGCAGTCCCTTATGTTGGCTAACTCTCATGAGACTCCAGCTCAATCAAAACTCTTTACAAACCAGTTGTAGCATTGGGCATTAATCATTCATATCAACCTCACAGATTGATTTATTTTACCTCTCGTCTCACGATCAGCCATAAAGCCTGCCAAAGGCAGAAAAGCAGCAGTATTGATTTGCCAATACTTGGGTGTGCTTCCATTCTGTGTTCTCTTTTCGGTCCCCGGATTTTCTATGATCACCCCCAACACTAGACCAAAATCATCATCAAACACATTTGACACTTTTCATAGTCCACGTGTCAGGCACACAGCTAGTGCCATACACAGCCTATGCGAAATGGAGTCCATTCGTTACCTCTTAGTCCAAGGCAGAGCAGATCAAGCCACATGCTTCTTAGTCCCAGCCTGAAACCAAGACTGTATTGGAGAAAGAAGAGAGATAGTCCCTTTGACCTCATTGGCCTGGCATTTAGAATACTGGCAGTAACTGAAGGAACTCTGTCATGCAGGAAAGGGCCAGCGCTTACACCTCAAAAGAGGTGCAGCCAGTGTGATTTCTCCATACAGATTCCCCTTCTTGAGTCTCCTACACAGTCTCAACTTTTGGATCATAATTCACATCATTGGTGGAATTTGGTGGATAGCTTCTTGATGATTCTGCTACAGAAGGAGTCTCCGTATCTGTCCTGATGGCATTTGGTTCAATCAATATGGCCTAGAAAACAGAAAACATTAGGCGTGCATTCCAACATTCTTCTATGGTAAGACGGTGTAGCTCTAGGGATCAGGGAAGCTACACTATCTTCTCTCAAATTCATCAGGGACCCCATATGTTGTTTCCACAGCCCCCTTGACAACTTCCTCCTCCTCTCTCTTCTACTGCCACAGTGGAAACTGTGGAAAAAATGCTGCTTACTTTAATGAATGTACAGTTTTCCCATGAATCTGGAAAGTGTGCAGATTTGCTACCTTAGAAAACATAATCTTCTTGCAATTGAGATAGCAAGGCACATGCTTCCCAGAATTAAAGGTTAAAATTTGGCTCTTAAAAGTAAATGATGCTTCTTTTAGGACATCTGCAGATGGTCCACAGGGTCTTGAGAGACCTACAGAAATGCACGAGGCAGCCCAAGGGCTGCGTACATGGATATACAGATTCATTTCCCATTTCTCCTTTCCTGTCCACAGAAATATCCCAGAATTAAAGGTTAAAATTTGGCTCTTAAAAGTAAATGGTGCTTCTTTTAGGACATCTGCAGATGGTCCACAGGGGTCTTGAGGGACCTACAGAAATGCATGAGGCTGTGTACTCGGATATACAGATTCATTTCCCATTTCCCCTTTCCTGTCCACAGAAATATCCCAGAATTAAAGGTTAAAATTTGGTTCTTAAAAGTAAATGGTGCTTCTTTTAGGACATCTGCAGATGGTCCACAGGGGTCTTGAGGGACCTACAGAAATGCATGAGGCTGTGTACTCGGATATACAGATTCATTTCCCATTTGATGTCATAACATGATTGGATAGATCAGGTCTTGACCCCATTATTGTTGCATCCCTTCGTCATCACTATCCAAACAAAGCCTTTTCCTGTCCACAGAAATATCCTTCTCTCTAATTATCTTCCCACCTGATCCTGGCCATCTTCTTTACTATTGTTTCTTGCATATCCACTTATCTATGCGCTTCAATCAACCTGATGAGTTACATCAAAAGCAACCACATTGCACTCTATTTCCCAGACACAGATGCAATTACAACCCTGATAAGAATTATGCAGTCACCTCATTGGAGTCAGAGCGGGTCGCCCGGCACCAAAAATAGGCAGTGGCAGATGCGATGCAAAATTCCACCACGGTGAATGTCAACAATACTATGGCGATTCTGTTGCCAGTCTTCTCCCCAAAGAAAACAAATACAATATTACAAGCTGACCAAATTAAAATCTATTGCTTTATCTTCCATATCCATACAATCATTACATTTTAGCCTGTTTTGGGTGTGCACATTACAAAGAACACATTTGAAGCCATAAAGCTTTGTTCTTGCAATCACAGGCAGTATAACTGAAAAAGGTGCAGCTCTAGGGATCTGGTGTAAATATGTTTTAAATCTGGTGTAAATATGTTTTAATTCAAATATAGTTTTGGTATCCAGCTACTAATAGGAAATAATCTTCTGGATGTAAGATTGTTATCCTATGTGAGGTACTTAGTAGGATACACTGAGCACTGTGAGTTTCACTTCCCAATACACAGAAAGTTGACTAGTCCCTTAAACTATCATGACAAAACACCCTTCTTTGTATTATTCTGCAAGGTCTTTGAAGAGATGTATTTTTGTGCATGTAAGAAAGAGATGGGAGAGAATAAGAATGATGAAAATATCTCAAACAGAGACATATTGGTTCCTATCAGCTGGAACTTGTTAAGATACATAATTAATAAGCAGTGTCACATCAGTTATCTTAGGTTCCCTTTTAACTAGGATTTGAAATCAGCATGTGAAGCAAATTAGCAACCTCGAATGAAAAGGGAAACATGGCTACTAGTCTTCACTGTGGCTCATAGTGTTGAAATAACACCTAAATATTGTTAAGGAAGACAAAGGAAAAATCAACAGGAATTTCTGCTGGATATTGGAAGAAGGGAGGTGTCTACGTCTGTGACTTACTCTCCCTCCGTCATCTTTGACACAACAAAGATACTGGAAACATAAATATTAGCCCTCCAGGCAGTTTGGTCTTAACAGATTTTACACTGGAGCACCAACCCAAGAATATGGCAAGTGTCAAACTATGAAAACAATGTTTGATAGCCTAGAGATGTTGAAAGTACAGTTGCACAGCAGCAGTTCTTTGGGTCTGAACTATCACAGGGTGTTTCCACACAGTACCTATAATCAAGGCCGTAGCCAGAAAAAAATTTCGGGAGGGGTTGAAATTTCGGGGGGGGGGNTGCGTTCGGAGAGGTAAGCAGGGCCAGAACCGTTTAGGGCTTTATAGGCTAAAGCCAGCACCTTGAATTGTATATGCTGGATTTTGTATATAATAATAATAATAACCTTCCTTTGCTGAACACAAGAGTTGTAATGGGAGAACATCCCTTTGTAATACCCTGTTTTGTCCCCCAAAGTAATTATTATTTTTAAAGCCGTTAGGGATAGTTTCTTGGGTCTTGCGCTCCACTTTTTGCATTTTTTTTAACCTCAGCCCCCTCCCTCCTTTTCTTTCTTTTTTTTTTACATGAGCATTAACAAAATTCCACACATTCCAAGTAAAAAAATATATTGGTATCTTTGTTTTTGGGCCTGTTCCTGGGGTTATTTGGGGTGCTGATTCAGAAAATTGCATTGGATTGACCACATCTGCTCTAGATTATTAAATATGGTTTTCTGTGGGCGAGCAGATGGTGACTACTGGATGGCATATGTTCTGTATCAGAAACTAGAGCTGACGTGGTCTATCCAATGCAGATTTCTGAATCAGTACCCCAAATAACCAAACTGATTCGTAACCCTTTTGGTACTAATGTTGGAGAGTGGTCCCTGGTTAAAAAAAACAAGGTTGGGAGCCACTGAAGTAAATAAATATGTCTCCTCTTAACTCCTAAAAGGTTTTTAAATAATATAATAAATAGCACGGTTATGTAGCTTTTTAAATTCTTTGTTTGAAATTTCTTTTTATAATAATGACCAGCTTGTTAACCAGCTTGAAGTTACATTAACCTTGAATTATGTTCACTATCAGATTATGATGACCTTTTGCTAATCTTCTTTTACTTCCTTATCCGTTGTATTTCCCGTTACATAAAGCGGTGGATTAGAAAGCCAAATAATAGGGCTGGGCATTCATTCTAGATCAAAGCCAGCTTGCTTGTTGGATTTCTCAACAGAATAAGAATCTGCTTGGAGACTAGTCCATGAGCACATAATAAGATCTGAATTCATTTTCCTGCCAGCTATATTCTCTTTATTTCAGTGTGATTCCTGCATGGCCATGTGAAGTTCTAGAGACCCGGCGCAGCTAATGACCACATGACACAATCCAATAAAATTTTAAAGGAAGGCTAACATAAAAGTTAAAAAAATGTGTCAAGGATACAAAAGTTAAAATATAGATTAAAGTACAGTTAAAATACAATTAAAAATTATATTTAAAAAATAAACATCCTCTCAGAAGTCCCACTCACAACTTCCCTAGCAGCATTTATCTTCTCCCAAAGGCTTGAAGGCAGAAATATGTTTCACTTGCCTGCAAACTTCAATCTGGGAGCCATCCAGTTCTCTTTTGTGGGGGGGGGGGGGTTCCAAGGTCTGGTGGTAGTCACCAGGAAGGCTTTCGCCTTTACTCCTATCAACAAAGCTTAAGTGGGACAGGGTGGGACAGAGAGAAGATCCTCCCCAGTTTTTGGCAGAACTCTAGCAGGCTCACAGAGAGATATACGGTCCTTCAACTAACCTGTCCCAATAATAATAATAATAGTAATAATAATAATAATAATTTATTTATACCTCGCCACTATCTCCCTGAGGGGACTCGGGTGTGGCTTACATGAGGCCATGCCCATCAATACAGTAAACACAATATAACACAAAAACACAACAGAAAATCAGAAAATAAGATAACATAAAATACAAAATCAATGTAAATAAGCAGTACGACAATATAAAATCAAAACATTAAAACACTAAAAATGATCACAGTGGGCAGGGCCAAATTCAAGATAAAGATTTTAAAACACTGGGAGATAGGGCAGTGTAAAATATCAGGAAGGGGATCTGGGGGATAAGGTAGGATTTAATTGCATAGACCAGAAAATAAAATGCTTCTGAGGGCATTTTATGCAGAGTTTGGTCAGGGATTATCATACATTCAATCATTGAAGGCATATTGGAACAGCCAAGTTTTCACGCTCCTGAAGATTGCCAGGGTGGGGGGTTGCCTAATATCTTTGGGGAGCGAATTCCAGAGCCGAGGGGCTACCACAGAGAAGGCCCTCTCTCTCGTCCCCACAAGTCGCACTTGCGATGAGGGCAGGATCGAGAGAATGGCCTCTCTGGAAGATCAAAGAGGCCGCGTAGGTTCGTAGATGGAAATGCAGTCGTGCAGGTAGGCGCGTCCCAAACCGTTCAGATAAAGACAAAACATATACTCAAGAAAAAGAGATTAGAAGTCAATTCTTTAACTTTTACAAGAAATTATACCAGAATGAGAAGATTGATAGGGAAAAGATAAATCAATATTTAGGAAAACAAAATATACAAAAGATGTCAGACAAACAAAGGGAAATTCTTAATAAGGAAATATCCGAACAAGAGATAAAAACGGCAATAAAAAATTTAAAACCAAATAAAGTGCCAGGTCCAGATGGACTATCATCTGGCTACTACAAAACCTTCCAACAAGAACTCACACCATACCTGAAGAAAATAATGAATAACATAAGAATATATAAAGAAATACCAAATTCCTGGAGACAGGCCAATATATCAGTAATACACAAGGAGAATTCGGACCCAGAAGAAGTTAAAAATTACCGCCCAATATCGCTACTCAATGTAGACTATAAGATTTTTACTAGCATTCTAGCGGAAAGATTAAAAATAATACTAGATTCATATATAGAGGAAGATCAAGCAGGCTTTCTGCCTAATAGACAACAGAAAGATAATGTGAGGACAGTGATAGACTTGATTGAGTATTACGAAATTTACCACCAAAAGAAAGTAATGTTTATGGCCGTGGATGCCGAGAAGGCATTTGATAATGTCAATTGGGATTTCTTTAAATTTTTAATGAGAGAGATGGATGTGGGTTATTATTTTCAAAATTCGGTAGAAGCAATTTATGAAAAACAAGAGGCCAAAATTATAATTAATGGACAGGAAACAGAGAAGATCCAGATAGAAAAAGGAACGAGACAGGGCTGCCCCCTTTCACCCCTAATATTTGTCCTATCACTAGAAGTAATGCTAAAAAGAATAAGAGAAGAGAAGGCGCTAGAGGGTGCTAGAATACAAGGATTGGACTATAAATATAAAGCATTCGCAGATGACATAATTTGTATCATAGAAAACCCAAAAGAAAAAACAGGAATTTGGCTAGAAGAAATAAAAAACTATGGTGAAGTGGCAGGGTTTAAAATAAATCTGGAAAAGACAAAAGCAATAACAAAAAACATTGGAGAAAGGGAAAAGGAAGAGATTAAAAGAAAATGGAATGTACAAATTGTTCCAAAAATAAAGTATCTAGGGATCCAGATAACGGCAAAAAATTTGCATCTTTTACAAAATAATTACTTAAATAAATGGAAAGAAATTAAAGAAGATATGGAAAAATGGAAAAAATCAAACTTATCACTAATGGGGAGGATTGCATCAATTAAGATGAAAATTTTACCGAAAATGATATACTTATTTCAGAATTTACCCATAATTAGGAATATGAATTTGATTAAAAAATGGATTGGCAGCCCCAGATTTAAAAACTTACTTTGAACCCTGTGCCCTAACATGGGCCAGAGACTGGACTATGCTAAAGAAAAAGAAATTACTAACTCTTGAGGGAATAGATTTAAGAGCGGGGTGGCACCATTACATTTGGTATAAAGGGAAAGAAAAAGAAAAAAAATTTGGGAATCATTTCACAAGGTCTGCAATACTAAAAGTTTGGGAAAAGTACAGAATAAAACTGTACACCAGAACACCACTCTGGGTGTCGCCTTTGGAGGCGACGCAAAGAAGGTGTCTAGGGTGGAATGACTGGCCCGTTTACAGGGAAATATTAAAAATTAGACAAGGGGAGACAGAAATAAAAGAACAACAGGAATTAGTCCTAATTGACAAAAACATAACATGGTTTCAGTATTGGCAAATCAAAGAAAAATTTAAATTGGATAGGAAATTAGGCTTTGCACAAGGTAATGAATTTTGGGATAACATCATGGAAACAGAAAGGAAGTTGATAACCAAGCTATATAAAAAAATATTAGAATGGCACCTGGGACAAAAGGAGGAGAAAAATTACATGAGAAGATGGAACGAAAACATACAAAGAAACATCAGGAAAGAAGAGTGGAAGGAAATTTGGAGAAAAAGATTAAAGTATACGTACGCAATAGAGCTTAGGGAAAATTGGGTGAAAATGTCGCAAAGATGGTACTTAACCCCGAAAAAATTAGGCAGAATATACAATAATACCAGCACGGCCTGCTGGAAATGCAGGAGTAAAGAAGGGTCCTTTTTTCATGCATGGTGGACGTGTGATAAGGCGAAGATTTTTTGGAGGAAAATACATAAAGAAATTCAAAGTATGCTGAAAATACAGCTACCTCTGAAACCGGAGATCCTTCTGCTTGGGATGTACGATAGAAAATTAGAGGAAAATAAGGATAAAATACTATTCTTGGCCTTGACAGCAGCAAGAATGTGCTATGCCAAAGTATGGAGACAAGAAGAGATCCCGGAGATAAATGATTGGGTAACTAAAATGCTGGATATTAGGAACCTAGACAAACTAACCTTCCTACTGTTAAAGAACAAAGAAACTAAAAGGAAAGAAACGGACTGGAGTGAAGTCACAGAATATCTAAAAAAGAAGAAAGAAGAAATAGTAATCTAAGAAATATAAAAATAGACTGAAATACGTCAAAAAGAGGGAAAGAAGAAAAACAATAATACAAACTATAAAAAGACTGATAAGATTTCCCGAAGATACCAGGAGGTCAACTTTTAATTTCCTTTTTTTCCCCCCCTTTTTTTCCTTCCCTTTTTTCCCCTTTTTTCTCTTTTCCCATTTCTTCCATATATTTTATTTTATTTTTATGAAAATCTCAATAAAGAATATTAAAAAAAAAATTTTTGGCCGGGGGGGGGGGGTTGAAACCTGCCTCCTAGCTCACGCTGAAGCAAAGAGCACAGCAGGGGCAGAGCAGCCTTCCATAGCCTGCAGCTCCGCCCCTGTCAACCACCTCCACCAAGTCTGGCCTCCTTAATGAGAGCATTCAACACACACACCCCCAACTTGGTTGCTTCACTACATCGGCTATTGCTGCAAGTAATGACAGTGTGAATAAATTGTCAATATTTGCCTGAGATAGTGCTTGCAGTTCTGGAGGGACTCTTAATTTTTTGCATCTCATAGACTTAGCAGGGGGATTTGGTTAACCAGTTAAAATTCATGAGTAAACCAGGTTTTTAAAAAAATCTGAAACATTTCGGGGGGGGGGGGGGTTGAACTCCTAACCTTCGCTACAGGCCTGCCTATAATTCAGGAGAGAACAGGTTAAAAAAGAGGGTGGCCAAATGACATTTGTTTTAAATACGCGCTCAATTGCAGCAACAGAGTGAAAACCTGATGCAAAAAGTCCTCCTTTATCCCAGTTCTGGGCAAAAAAGTGGGTTTTCCCATGACCATGTGGCCTTGCAGTCATGTAAAGTTTGGGATTACCCTCTTTACCCACAGTGGAGACTGCTTCCCACCCGTGCCAGTTTTTGAAAGCCCAAAACAACTGATCAGCTGTTCAGGCTCCCACAGAGACACAGCTGATTTCCAACTGGTTTCAAGAGATGAGAAGCAGAGAACCATTAGAGATCTCTGAAAGTGTTTATTTTAGACTTTATAATATTAAATAAGCAATTGGGGAAAGGGAAATCCAGAGACATTTTTTAAAAAATTCTGCCGTTATGCGCTGATGTGTATATGTGCTCATAGGAATATTGCTATATTTGTATTAGAATATTTACATGTGTGCATATAAGCATCAGATCATAATTGAGTGATTAAAAAAAAAAACTTCCAGTGGATGTCACCTGTCTGCCCTACATTGTATCCCGAGGCACAGAAGGGCTGTGAGGATGAAGGGGGAAGGAAGCCCAGGACCAGCAGGTCTTTGTGGGGACCTGCTTTGAGGTCTCGGGCCTGTTTATCCCGTCTATTAATCCCATGTTTTGGTGCTGTCTGAAAGTGCCCACAGCTGGGATGTGGACTATCAACTAGGATCCATGCATTAGCCAGCAAATAGCTTTGTTATGTATACTGAATACATACAGTTGACAATTCCCCCACACTTCACTCCACTATTGTAAGCATCTTGCAAACTCCATGAAAGTGCATTTTCTCTTCCAATTCCTCTGAGGACAATACAACCAAGGACCTCATCACATTGAGGTCCACATGAAAGGAAATAGCGGGGGGATTCAACATGCCTCATGATGAATCCTGTGGGCAGCATGGGGAACCCATTGCCCTGCACTCCACACTACCCCTTATCTGTCCCACAAGGTGAAGTGTCGCCACCCAGCTTCTCCCTGTTCTTCTCAATGGGAACACAGGAAGCCTCCCATGTTCCCTTTGCTCCCTCTTACAATATTTTTATCTCAGTTCAGGAATGGAGCCCCCACCCCCCAGAAGTAGATGTACGTCGTATGATGGGATCTGGTGGGCTCCACCCTGAAGTGAGGTGAAAGTGTCCGCCCATGTGATGAGGTCACAAGACTTATGATGTTGTTAAGGCATAATTACTTACCATCACTAGGGAATACTGATGACTGTCATCAGAATGAAATGGCCCATTTATGCTCAGATCTACTATAAAAGCCAGTATTCCAAGTAATGCAAATATGGCACTGATAATGTTCATGGCTTGAGAGCCCTTCACCTGAAAAACACAGGAACAGAATGCAGGTAATTGCTGAGAGGAGGAGGTAATCTTGTCAAGTTTTTAAAATAACAATAAGGAGCCATCAAAAGTTATGACATATAGAGTCGACAGTCAGGAAGCAAATATCAACAAGTTTGTGTTCTTAGATAACCAATGAGGGTTTTTATTTCAGGTAGCCTTGCCATGTGGTTCTCTGTAAAATCAACATATCACCTGCATCCGTAAATTACCTGCTGCACACATTTCTGTCTTTATGAAGGACCCACACTCCAAATCTAAGGGAGAAGGGATTGCACTCAGTCTTCCACATATATTTCCAACCCTCAGAAAAGGGGCATCCCTTATAATATGGGATCCTTGTCAGCCCTGTAAGGAACAAGCTTTCTGGTCTTCAGATAAGGGACATCCCTTATAATAAAGGATACTTGGGAATGCTAGAGGTGAAAAGAGCTGCCTTGCTTCAGTGCCAGTGAATGAGGGTCTGCATAATGCTTCATTCTATTTCTGTGGTTTCGGAGGATGCTGTCTCTCTGTGCTTCAGTTCAAATGTCAAGTGAGAATGCTTTCTTGTGAAGCACTCAGACTGATACTGTCAGCCACAGAAGCTGGTTAGGAAGAAGACAGATGACACCTTTTGAGAGAACTGACAATAGTACTGTAGAGAAATCATTGTATGTAGTATACACTTTCCTTTCTATTTTTCACTAGTATCTCTACCTAGATAGCTAAAACAGGTATCTGCTGAAACTGCCTTCATAGCTGCAAATTCTATAAACAGAAACAACAGTGATGTGAACATGTCAGCAACAAGCAAAACATTAGTGTTTCACAACCTTCTTTTCTCTGAAAAAAAAAAACCTCCCAATTATCTGTCTCCTGCCTTTGATAATCCAGGAAAAGAACTGGACTGCAATTCTTGGAATTCTCTTATCCATTGACCATACTGACTGGAGGACTCTGGAACTGTAGTTTCAAAATTTGACTTTTTCAAACTCTATCCATAAACTAACAATGTTCCTCAGGTTCAAAACCATACCCACCTTATTGCAGAATTAGCTGTGATCCCAGAGATACCAAGGCGCATAAGAGAGGAGACCTCGCAAAAGCTCAGACATTAGATGAACTAAAGCTTGCATCCCCACCTTGATGGATTCCAAATGAGTGAGTCTTATGGAGGAGGGATAGAACTTCTACGTTAATCTAGCAGACCAACCGCTTGACACTTACAATAATTCACAGGGCAGACTGGGATGCCATTGGCTATCTGGATGACAAACAGGAGCCACATTTATCATATCTGCACCAGGCAATATATGGGGTGGTTCTAAGGAAGAGTGTTTAAAACAATCACCCCACTATCGATTCAATATATTTTCATCATATATTTCTTCCAAGGAGACATACACAGATCACCTTCTGCCCCCAATTTATTCTGTGAGGTAAGTTATACTGAGAAAATAGTGACTAACCCATCGTTACCGAATGAATTTTGTAGGTGAATGTTGTTGAACCTGGGTCTCACAGTCCTAAGCCATATCTGCCATACTATCAGCTAAGTCAAAGTGGCATGCCTCATCACACTCGAGCATTTATCCACTGTAATTCACTTTAAATGCTGTGACTACCTCCTGCAGAATTCTGGGATTTGCAGTTTAGGGAGGATCCTTTAAACTGCTCATCAAGATAAGTCCTGGGCCTCCCTAAACTACAAACCCCAGAATTCTGCAGAAGGCAGTCACAGCATTACCCTCCAGCCCTATCTATTATCAGCTTTTGCACTTTTCCACCAGCCCCTATCCTGAAACTATTTCACAAACTCATAGCCCTCCGAATTCAGTATTTATTACTATTCAGGCTATTGATTGCTTTATGATGTTGTGTTATGTTATTATTATGTGTTTATTTTATGGGTTTTTAGGGGTTTTTTTCAGGCTATATGGCTATGTTCTAGAGGCATTCTCTCCTGCATCTATGGCAAGCATCCTCAGAGGTTATGAGGTCTGTTGGAACTAGGAAAATTGGGTTTATTTTATCTTATTTTATGGCATCGTGTTTTAATCTATGTTTGTCCAGGCTCGTCCCCATGTAAGCCACCCCAAGTCCCTTCAGTGAGATGGAAGTCTGGTATAAAAATAAAGTTATTATAATATCATTATTATTAAGTGGATTAAAGTGGATAAATGCTCAAGTGTGCTAGTCCATACGTTCTAACATTTTACAGGTGAAACAATAACAATGCAGCCAAGCAACACCACAGTGTCGTCAAGAAGGCAAATGTTATTAATGAGAAAGAAACAAATTAGGAAAGGCTTCATCAATCTGCTTTTTTTCTACACATACGGGGAAAGACCCACCACATCCTGTTCTCTCTGCTATGAGCTCAAACTGCTTTTGCATTTCTGAATCAGGCCATGTTTCCAACTAACCTGGGGGAAACTGCTCTGCAGCTTCCCCCATGCTGCCCAGGAGTATTGCAGTATAATACCTATCACGATAACTAAATGATTATTGTGGAACTGGTGCAATAGTAATATGCTTTGTGTTTTATCTTATGATGTTTTATGTATAGTGTTTTAATGGCTTAATTCATATTTATATGTTATTGATTTTAATTAATGTTATATATTGCTTACGGTATACATGTATATTGGTGGCATTGAATTTTGTCATGTTTTTCATCACTCTAAATCCCCCCCCCCCCGGGGTGAGAGAGAGAGCAGTATAGAAATACAGTAAATAAATAATAAATAAATATCCCCAGAGCCCTTTTGGAGTCCAGATGGGTTGAGGGTACATTGGGGCTGATGCCACTGCTGCTGTATCATCAGCCACAAGCAGCTCCCTCACAGAGTCTTGCTGGTTGTTCTGATCAAATGGCTGGGTGCCCTGTTGTGATATCATCAGAAATGAAGTCAACAGCAAGTCTCGGCAAGGGAGCTGCTTGTGGCCAGCAACACAGCAGCAGTAGTAGGGTCTTCAAAGCACCCTCAACCCATCTGGCCTCCAAAGAGGTTCTCAGGAAATTCTTGGGCAGCATGGGGGAAGCCCTAGAGCAGTTTTCCCTATGTTAATTGGGTAAGTGTAAACATGGGCTGATTCATATGTCTGGTTTGGCCAGCTGTCTGGATGCTGGAATAAATCTGGGAATGCTCAGAGGCCTGCTATAACCAATTTCATGGAGTTGACATGAGGCTTGCTGGCAACACCCTGGTTACATGTCTGGGTACAGTTGTGACCTCACCAGAAGCGACATCACCAGCAAGCCTCTCCAAGGGAAATGCCTATGATCTGTAATGCAGTGATGGGTTTGTTGGGCATGTAGCCACTGGATCAGGCCAAATGCAGCCCAATCCAGGTGTCCACACCTTCAAAATGCTTGAGTTTCCTGAAAGGTCCAGAATAAACTCCACTTCCCCTTAAACCAGATTAATGGCTGGACGCAGCACCTCTGCTGTGACTCCAGCTCTGTGATGTGTAGGCTGCCACCCAAGAGTTCATGTTATTTGGCCCATATAAACACAACCTCAGTTTGCATCCGTTGGAGTAACCAAGGGCAAATGGGGGAAGTGGGAGTAGGAGAGAGGAACTAGGACATTTAGAAGCAACCTGAAAAGTGGGACAATGGGGATTAATCAGGACTGTCCCTCCTAAATATGTCATCCCATACATGTAAAATCTTTGCTGCACATTTTAGGTTTCCTGTAATTCAAGTTAAAAGTGCAATTAGAAGAGAAAACAACATCAGGCTGACTCACGGCACACTCTGTCGGGCTCTTCTCAGCACCAATGGAGAGGCATCCAGAAACAATGAACTATTCAGAAGGAAGGAAACACAGATGCAATTGATAAATCATATTATAGATAATTCTCCCTTTCCACCATCACTGGACCCACCTTAAAAATCTATGACAAAAATGAAGATAGAGATTAGAACAACCCGGGTGGTGCTTTTTTAAAAAAATGATGTGTTTTGCCCCTTTCAGCAAGGTGCCTCAGTAGTTAGCTAAGATGTCAGACTTCTGCACATAAGACACCTTTTACTCATTGGCACAGTTCTTTTTCTCAGATCTCACTTATTAACACCTCAATCTTCTATTTCAGATTTCTATTCTGGGCCTCAGATCTAAGACTGCTTCTATACTTTCTCTTTGAAGGAAATAGTTATGAGGCAGCAAAAGGAAACGGAAGCGTAGAATGAGTGAAACCTTTGCCTTGCTCTGAAACTATGTTGATCTACCACAAAAAGGAACTGGTCTCAGCTATACAATGCATTTTCTTCCAGGGTGTTCAGTATGCTTGATCTGGATGGTTTGCAAGGCTGAGACAAACATCCTGCCTTGTACCGTATTCGGTTTTGTAAGGTCCAGTCCTACCCCCAAGCCTTCCATTTATGTGGTGAACAGGTTCACATATCTTTCAATGCCTTGTGTCATTATCCTTGCTTTTTGTGGTTTTCCACTCCTAGTTCTTATTTACCCAGACTAGAAATAGCTATGGGTGCCATCCAAGTTATTCATAAATGGTGTCATGAAGCAAAGATCTAATGTGAAGATGAGCTTGCAAGCAGGAACAAATGAGATGAAATGATAATACGACAAATGAGTCTGAAGATAGAAAGCACAAAGGTATTGAAACATTGTAATGATTCAGTGAGGTGAGTATTTTGAACAGTAATTTGATGGTGATTGTTTCAAGGGAAACACTTGTCACATCCATAATCAGGAAACCAATGAAGCTTAAGAGAGTTGTTTTGCAGATATCAGTTAAAGAAGCTTTCCCTTGTGAGGCTTAAATAATTCTTGAACCTTGTTGGCTGACAGTCTACCAAGTCTTTAAATTGTTGCTTATTACCAAGATGCTGACTCTGTCAAACAAAGTTTTTACTTTTTCATGAAGGAGTGATGTGCAAAGAAGCCCATTTACAATTAGATAGCTTGTGAGTACTATATTCAATTTAAATCCGGAGTACAGTTCCACCAAAAAACAACAATGTAGTCAATTGACTGGAAATGTAAGGACATGTTCAGCTTTGGTTGGAGCCATCAGGAATTCTAGGATGGACTATGAGGTAAAAGGTCAAGGAAGTCTAAAAGTGGCTGTGACATATATTGAAAGACACCTGCAGAAGATCTAAATGCTGTTCACACTACATAATTACAGCACTATGGTTCCACTTTGACTATTATGGTTCCATCTTGTGGATTCCCAGTGTTTGCATTTTTGTCAGAGGCACCAGAAGAGCTCCAGAAGAGGAGAATTCAAAGAGTTCCTTTTTTTACGGCAAATCCCGGGACTTCATTAGATGTTATTACTTTAAGTGGAAAATATTGCTAAAATTGTATATCCATGGAAGATATGTTCCAATGTGTGCACAGATTTCTGACCCTATTGATCAGAGCAAAACCCTATATTTTGGACCAGAATCATACTATAGAACTGCACTGGAGGACCTAGAAAGGCCTACGAGCACTTCTGGGGACAAATGATTTTTGCAGCGCAGGTAAGGGAAAGTGTAGGTATTGAGTCTGTGGATAAGAGGTGTCGGACTGTAGTGTATAAGGGTTCAAGTTGACCTTGTGGTTAACTGTGGGAAAGCAAAAGAAAGGCCTTTATAACATGACTTGTATTCTGCTCAGATGAGGTTTTATATTCATGCATTCATGCCAGTTTTACCAAGAACACTTCGATCTTCACTAATGAAAATGCGAGACAACATAGGGGAATGTCAGTAGGAAACTAATGAAAATCATATTAAAGCATGGATTTAGTGATCAGTGATCAAGAAGTGGTATTTCACAGATGCAGAAAGGAAGTCATATACAGGAGAGGAAGAAATGGCTGCTCTGAAAAGACGACCACAGTTTGACAGTAAGAAGAATGAGCACAGATAGTGCACAATATCACCTTCGCCCATATATCCCCAAAGGGCATTTGCTGAATGCAGTGAGATAAGGACACATCCAGGGTTTTTGCATGATTTTCCCAGGAAGTTATGAGAAAAAAATTACACTTCTTAGACCACATTCTGTAATATATGGCCCCATCTACACTGGCCATTTAATGCTATTCGAACCTAGCTTCAAACTATGGCAGCCAAACAACAAATGCCTGCCCAAAGCATGCAAAAGAACATCCTTAATGTGTATCAGGGCTCTGTAATCCCCATCTAGACCTTAAATTGATTCCAGGATTTCCTATGTAATCATCTGCACACTTTCTTCCATACTGTTTTGAAACTGTATTAAATGATTAGTGTAGATGGGCCCTTTATCAACTTAGTGTTCTCTTCCATGCTTGTTTGTTTTTAATGCTGTGAATACAGAGTATTAATTACAACAGTGGTTCTCCATCTTCCTAATTCCGTGACTGCTTAATACAGTTCCTTATGTTGTGGTGACCCCAACCATAATATTATTTTCGTTGCTACTTCATAACTGTATTTTGCTACTGTTAGGAATTGTAATGTAAATATCTGATAAGCAGGATGTATTTTCATTCACTAGATGAAAGTTGGCACAAATACCTGATACACCCAAATTTGAAAACTGGTGGGGTTGGAGGGGGATTGATGTTGTCATTTGGGAGTTGTAGTTACTGGGATTTATAGTTAACCTGCAATCAAAGAACATTCTGAACTCCACTAACAATGAAATTGAACTAACCTTGGCACACAGAACTCCCATGACCAACAGAAAATACTGGAAAGGGTTTGGTGGGTATTGGCCTTCAGTTTGGGAGTTGTATGTAGTTTACCTACATCCAGAGACCACTGTAGACTGAAACTGAATGATAGATCTGGACCAAACTTGACACAAATACTCAAAATGACCAAATGTGAACACTTGTAGAGTTTGGGGGAAACAGACCTTGACGTTTGGGGGTTGTAGTTGCTGGGATTTATAGTTCACCTACAATCAAAGCGCATTCTGAACCTTGCCAACAAGAGAATTGGGCCAAACTTCCCACACAGAACCCTCATGAGCAACGGAAAATATTGCGTTTTCTGATGTTCTTTGGCGACCCCTCTGACACCCCCTTGCAAACCCCCCAGGGGTCCTGACTCCCAAGTTGAGAAACACTGCATAACAACATTAAAGACTTTCTCTACAAATAGGCTATCCACTCTTATGCTGTTTTTTCTCTCCTTTCCATGGCTTTCTAACCCCCATGCAACACTTTTCATCTCAATTGTTGGCTCAGTTTCCTTCATTTCAGTTGCTAAGTTTGAGCCTATGCATCTGGGTAGCCTCTGCAGAGATGCTTTAATCATTCTTAAGCTAATTATGGTTTTGTTAGAAGCTCGCCCATCTGCTTGGCAAAATGCACTGTTTTACAATCCTTCTCTAAATGTCACCCCTTTCACCTGCCTCCAATTTATTAAGGTGTAATAGACTACAGTCTTCTTAATCAAGAGTTAATAAGGAAGAAAATCCTGAGCCCCACAAGTCTAGGAGGGGCAGGCAAACATGTGCAATGAAACAAAAGTGAAACATACCAAGGACTGGTATGAACAATTGCCTTTAAAAAAATGGTAGAAGATCAACCAGAGGTTACGGGAAATGAATTGACATAACCATTGACGAACTGGAACATAACAAAACAACATCACAATGTGGTCAAGTAAGCAAACATTATTAATAAGGAAGGACACACAAACTGGGAGAGGCTGCAGCAGTTTGCACTTGGAGCTCAGTTTGCAACAACTGAAGTGATCTGATGTAGAAGGAGAAGTGGGAGGAAGAGAAAGGAATTGGGATATTTTAAAAACTGCTGAAATGTGGAATGGCAGAAGATTACTTGGGATTGTCTCTGCCAAACTGGAATAGGCGACAAGTATGTTGATGGGTTTAACCTGCATCTCCCTACAATCAGTGTTACTTCACTCAGTACTCTCCTACCAGACCTTCTGTTAACTGTTATCTGCAAGAAATGGAAAAATGGGTAACATGACATGACTTCATGTGTTTCTAGCTTTGACATGATTTGAACTGAGGCTGGAACAGGAGAAGAGAGCCATGTAGCTGGCAGTAACCATGCATCCTGTTGACATCTATCAAAAAATGACCTATTTGTGATAAATATATGCAAAGGACTTGCGGTATCACACTAGAGCTGAAAGCGTAGGCAAAAAGTATGAAGTCTCCAATCTTCCTATGCTTTTCCTAAAATATTTACTATGGAATCTGAGGGAAAAAATACAACTTGATGAGAATTTTTGTTTTAAAGTTCAAAAGAAAGTCTGCATAGTTTCTGGGATGCTCTCAGAAGAAAAGTGATGTGTGCTGAGAAGGGTTATCACTGGCCTTAGCTTGGGAATGTGTTGCTGGATTCCTATTTTTCCATCCTGTTATTCTCAAAGATCAATAGCTCTGGTAACTTTATAACACTGGGGATCTTGCGATAATAACCCACATTTTGTAAAATAAAATCTACTCAATGGAATCTGAAGAGAACATACAATTATTGTGTGTTCACTTTTGAGCACAGATTAAATTTTGTTTGCTTTATGTTTATTATTATTTTTTGCTAAGTCCACCATTTCTCATCTTCAGTTTTTGGTTACCAGTATTCAAATCACTGATTTCACCAGGAATCAAATATCATTTCAGACAACAAATTGCATTTGGTTGTATATACACCAAGAATTTGATTCACTAGAGCAGTACTGAGGCTGCAGCACAAAGTGCTCTCAACTCATAATAAAGAATTGCAATTGTTGGATTTACATTAAAAGTAGCAAGCTAATAGGTAAGGTGCCCCAAGTCCCCTTGGGGACAGGGGGCGGGATATATACAAAGTGTTACTGTTATTA